AAGAGAGTCAATTCTGGCTCCTTATTACATACACAACTTTATACATGAATTATTGGTTATACGGTAATGACATAAATAACATTACAGCAAAACGTTTCAAGCACCAAAGTGCCTGCCTTATGGTCCAAGACAAACATACACATCAAACTATCAACACTTCTACAACGATTAGAATCAATGGCCCGTAAGAAATTGTAAGATCTTTTTCGGCTTCAGCTCACACGAATGATTTGTGAATGAATCTTGAATGCGGCGAGCTTCTAGCTATGTGAGCGGGATTTACTTACGATTAGCTTCTAATGAACCTGGACAATCACTATGTATGGAGGAGAGCTTGCAACATCCCGTATATAAGTAGAAGTTATTCAGAAAATATTTCTTCTAGCATAAGTAATTTCTAGCAATAATGAGCCAGCACTATGGCATGGCAGTACTAAGTCACCGAGTCTGCAAATTGAAATGCACGAATATTGTGGAAAATTTCTGAAACTATTGCTCATTGCAAGTCTATGGTTTGCCATTTTCTTTTGCATCTCCATTGTCTAGCGCTGCAGCAGCTGCTTTCTCTGCTTCTGCTCTCTTTCTTTCCTCTTCTTCTGAAATGGGCATTAAAAAATTCAGAAAAATGAGATAGTCCGTTAGCGCGAAAACAAAGAAATTCTTTTTTCATTAATCAAATAAGAAGTTCCCACCTTTTGCGGCTCGTTCCTTCCAACTAGCCTTGTTCTCGTGCAAAAATTTCATCCACGGTGTAGGAATGTCAAGTTTTCCACAGTAATTCAGCGGAAGACGACGAATCAATGATGAAGGAGAAACCGACGAATTTCTGCTGGAAGAAATTATTTTTCCCACGTTTTGCGCAATTTACAAAATTGATGGAATTGCAACACTTTAGCTTTTTTTCCTGTGAAATTAAATCCAAACTTACGCATCTGGCAGAGGACTGAGCGCCACACTAGGGCTGGTGGATTCGTTCTGATCACCATTCGGAGGGAAAAGGCTGTCACTTGGTGGAAGTGATACTAATGGTTCAACCATTTTTGT